CTAATGAATACTTGTGAACAGATCTTCATAAATATTAAATAGAGAACTTTTCAGTAACTGAATTACTAAATGTATGATTTTGTATTTCACAGGACAGTGTTATCTTCAAATCTTGTGATTTTCAAGTTTTTAAACTGAAATTTATTTGTAGACTTCATTATTATATATACCTGTAACTTTATGTCATTATTATATATACTGTACCTGTCTATCAGTTAAGTGCTAAGTTTTGGTATTCTATTTTTATGTTAACTGAGGAAGATCATTAAAATCAGTCAAAAACGTTTTTATTTTACTAATATTTATTTTCTGGATTATTAAAGGTTTATTTTATTCATATTAAGTGCTAACTTCAGAGGCAAACAAATGGTAGTGCTAAATTGAAGTTTAATTGTATAATTCTTTGAAGAAAACTAATAATGCTTATTATTCAAATCTTGATGATATAGTTGAATTAAATAATTTTAATTCAATGAGAAATAATATTCTATGATTGAGACATAATAATTAATTTGATGATATGAAGTACAGTGGGTGATCGATTAATGAACAAGTTGGATAACAAACACTTTTGTGAAAGATTTTTATGTTCGGATAATGAACGCCTCATAGAACAAACACAAGAAGAAGCGATGTAAAATAATAAATACTGATTGGTCTTCCCTTGTCTTCAGGTAACAATTCGGAACTTTTCGTAGCACGGGAGACATCGACATCAACACTCAACCTGGTATATACTGATCGGATAGTATTCCTCTGAACTTTGAAACTCTACCTTGTAATTCCAGCCTTTTATTTTTCTGACAGAAACAATTCTTTTATAGTATTTGCAAGACTGTTGGACAAAACTCATTAAGTTTTGTGTTGGTTTTTATTTTCGAAAGGTGAGAGTATAATAGCAAAGATGGAGAGTGGACAGAAGATGTCTGATGTTGCTGGGCAGTATGGCTCGAACAGGTCTACAGTAGGCCACAGTTCAATCTTATCTAAGTAAGGTACTGTATAATCAAGAAGACTCAAGCAGCTAAAGGAGTAACAAAAATCACATCTGAAAAATAAAGAACATTGAAGAGCTCATAATAGAACCTGAAATGAATCTGATGACAGAAGAACGCCAAGAACTCTTGAATGAAGAACACCAAGAAACTCAGCGAGATGTTTTCTTCTGAAAAAGAGGATTAATGTCAATATCTGCTATTAAACATCTTTTGAAGTGGGAGGATGTCAGAACAACGGTCTTAGAATAGCATCCAAACCAGGTTGAGATTAATAGACTTAGGAATATCTACAATTACAATGTTATTAATTACTTCTGAAAAATCCTAAAGAAGAGAGAAAAGCAATCAACATTAGACAGATTCTTTAGACAGATTCATTAGACAGATTCAAACCCCCACAAACGGAAAAAATATGGCTAATAAAAATGCAAGACTGTGTTATATATGTATTTTTATTATTGCATATAAATAAATGTAGTAAGAAAGTATATGTTTTTTATTTTTTGGGGTCTCCAGAACAAATTAATCAAATTCCCATAAAAACCTATGGTAAATTGATAATCGGTTAACAAACAATTTGGATAGCGAACAAAGTCTTGGAATGGATTATGTTCGTTAACCGATCACCCACTGTATTAGTAATGTTGAATGTGCAAGTGCTTTTTTAATTAAACTTTTCAAGCCAATAATAATATAGTAAAAAGTCCCTTAATTATTGTTAAGGATTGGTCTGAATCCTTATACTATTTCTTGAGTAATTAAGTCAAGGCTTCATTCTCTAACTTTTGTTAATTGTTAATAGCAGGTCACATTCTTCCATTATGACGAAATCAGGATCATATAGTCAATTGTGCAATAATATCTTATGAAAACCAATATGTTTAAACAACCTAAATACAGTAATTAAATCATCCAAGATAACTATTCTTTTTTCAATTTACAATATCACTAGTTAATGTTTAAACAAAGTAATTTGGATAAAAGAAATTTGATTGAGTATAAAATAATTTTGATCTTTTGATAATACATCTTGCAGAAGATGCAGGTTCATGCCTTGCTCTGGATTAGTCTTTTCTTCCAGAAACTTTTAAATTATTTAATTTAATCTAAATTTTTTTTCTAATTATTAAATTTAACACAAGATGGCAGTCAAAACACTTACTTTTCAGCCTTTACTGCACTTTTTCAACTTCAGTTAATTAATAATTAAACAATTACTTTGTTTCCTGAATGTAATCCAGCAATAGTTATTTGGTCTTGTAAACAAATCCAAATTTACTAATTTATAAGCCTTGAAATCTTGAAACTTTTTATAAATAGATTAGAATTAAATTAAGTTAAGCATTTTTATAGTAGAAGATAAAAAAGGAAATTTAAATTAAGTTGTTAATGTTACTTATTTCTTATACTATATAATTATATTGAATTTAGGAGTTGATTTGTTATATCATCATAGTTCTTTTCTCATAAATGAAAAAGAATTTTTCCTTGTATTTAACTTAGTTATAAAATTTGAAATTATTATTGTATCAAATTCATTAACAGATATATTTGAGAGATAGTATAAGATTTTTAGCTTAAAAGTTACCATCATAATATTTTTAAAATCATCATCAATTGTTTAGCTGGATTAGCTCATCTTAGTACTCAGTTCAACAGTTGTTATTATATTATCTCTCAGTGCTGATATTGCTAATTTTCACAATTAAAGTTAAATCAGAATTGCTTTCCTCAAATAAATAAATAAATGTCTTCAGATCACTGAACTTCTTCAGCTTCCAGCAAAACTTACAAAATGTAGCAATTCACAAATTTTTTTGGAATCCACCTGATTTCTGCTTTAGGTTTACAGAGTTATAATACATTCTTTCTGATTCTTTTTGTATAAAATCTTTTGTCTGGTAGCTTTGCTAATTTGCTTATTGGTGTAACTGGATGAAAAGCCAGTGGACAAAAGATCCTAAAAAATAGGAATCCAACAATCTACAAGTTTTTATGTAACATTAAGAATTCCCATCCTAACAAAGGTTCCAGGCAGTATACACTATTCCACTTAAAGACTAGAGAGTTGCACACAACCTTCATTACATAGGGGCTACTTTAAGATCTTTAAAAGCAAGACTGAAGGAGCATAAGTACAACATTCAGAAGTTCAACCTGGTTATAGCCCTTGCAGCTTATGCTCTTTCTGATTCTGTTGATTTGTGCTGGCAACAAGACAAAATCATTAAAAGCACAAGGAATAGGCATGAAATACATTACATGGAGTGGTTTACATTTGCAAATCTCTCCAACAAGGTAGTTTTATCAACTATAAGGACCCCAACATACTGTTGACTGCCTAGGTCTGCTATGAGTTGCATATTGGATGATCTTGACACCCTTTTCCTCTCTTCACAGGTAATCCTCCCCCTTTTACTTTCATTGTTTATTTAGTTAATTTTATATTTTCATTTTTATGTATTTTTTATTTAATTATGTTGTTTATTTCTTCGTTTATATTTGTATTTATCATATTTTATTTTTATTCTTTTGTTTTAATTTTTTGAAATTTAAATTAACCAGCATTCGATGTTCCAAAGTGTTTGTTATATGATATTCTTTTGTTTTGTTCAATTCTATATTTTACCTGAAGATGGTCTTTAAAAAAATCTGGAAAAATTTGTAATTAAACTGTTTTTGCTGCAAACAAAGATTTTTGTGTGAATTTTGAATATCCATGGTTAATTTATATTCACTACCTATATAAACAACTCATAATTTGATTTTAATTGATTAAGCTAAACAATCTTGCTGAAATAGTCTGATAATTTTGAAAAGGTTGTTTGGCTTGATATTCACTATAGGATGTAATAAACAAAGAACTTGATCAATAATAATATAATGAATACATCAATTATAACAAAAAGTTTTTACTTCTCATTAGAAACCAAATGTAAACACAAAAACATTATTATAAAGAAGAATGGATAGATTTTAAATAAATAAATATAAAATATATATATATATTAATCTCCATGTTATGACTATTGAAACTGATAGTTCATGAACCAATGACAAATGATATTCTCAAAATATCAATTCTGGGAATTGCCACATTCTCTTACTGAGATGGTAACAATAAGATCAAATTTGCATGAAATTTAACTGTAATTTATATATGATATATTCTTAAATGTAAAATTTTACTTTTCTGATTTTATGTAAACTTTCAGTATATAAAATTTCATGTCATCTGTGCACTATTTTTGATGGATAATGCAGAAATCAGAATTTGATTATGTAATTCAGAACAATTCCACTCAAATCAGGACATCTGACAACTAAAACAGTTATAAATTAAATTTAAAGACATTGTTAATTAAGAATTATTTTTAGCATTGTCATAATTAACTTTATTATAATTAATGATTATTTATTAAGATCAGTTTTAATAAGGCTTAATTTTTTTATACAAATCTTGATTCGGACATGGTAAACATTGATTAATAAATTTTATTTGACATTTACAAGTATTTTAAACTGTTTAATGCTGCTTTATTATTTTAAGTGTATTTTTTTAGAAATAATTATTATTATAGGTTTTAGTGTTTTTAATGATTATTATTTTTGTAATTTTAGGATAAATTTATATTTTTTATAACAATAAACTTTTTCAATACTAAAATTTTAGCTACTAAGCTAATTTTTTCAATGAGACCTTTCCATAGATTATTAATAAGGTTTACTTAATGAAATTTGTTCATTTAATAAACTAAAATCTAGATGATAAACCTTATTTTATATTAATTAAATTACAACTGCATTTCTTATAATGCTTATTGTTTTATCATTAAACTATACTGTATAGTACAGTACATATATATTTATACATATTCAAATAAAATTATTAAATTAAAAATTTTTACATACATTGCAATATTGATTAAAATTATAAAGTTTAAATTATAAGAAATTTATTAATATATGATATTTTAATGTTTGTATGATTTTCTTTTAAAGCACCAAAGAAGCTGTTTTAAATCAAGGTAAGTTATTTAATAATAATAAATACTAAATTTTTGGTATATTATTTAAATAAATAGTATTTATAAGTAATTTAATTTCTTGTTTGTGACATTAAATTAAATTTTATGGCACATTTACACATTTGCTATTTCCCAAATGCTGAGCAAACATTTGACAAATATTGAATAGTGTGGATGGTATACTTGTGATGAATATTTGGCATTCAGTTTCCTTATTCTTGTGTTCAAACACTTGCCTCCTTGCATTGCATTTGTGTTGGCCATCCACACATTTGTGCTCACATTCAAGTATTTTTTTTTTTTTTTTTGTCATTAGTATTTCTATTATAGTTTTTTTAAAAACTAGATCTAGTCTTTTATTTTTTAATTTAATTTATTTTTTTATTTGGTTTATAGTTTAAATATTAATTTTATTTATTTTTTATGTAGTTCTTTCTAGTTGCTTTTACAATATGCTTTAATTGTGTTGTTTTTTTTAAAAAATTCCTTTTTTTCACATATATATTTTTCTACTTTGGTGAGGTGATACCATCCACCATCATCATCGTTTAGGTTTTTTCCATTAACAGATATAAACTAATCATAACAATAAAAGCAGTGGCACAAATTTTAGTTTGAGAATGTCCATTTTCTACATCTCAGATGAATATTCATCATTTTCACAACAAACTAATGCTTGGCAACTAATCAAATGTGTGTATGTATGTGCTCACCAAGTGATAAATATTTTGGTAAAAAGCAAATATTTGGTCTTTACACCATCCTCCTTATGGCTAATATAGATAGTGGTATACATTATCTTTTTGTATTAATATTTAGCATGTATAGCTTTTTAAAACTTTATTACTAAACAGTGGTTGTAATGTTGAACTGTGTTTTTGCTAAGAAGGCATTTACAAACAGTTTTCCATTCAGAAGTTGGAGCTGCACACTTCTGCACAATGAATCTAATATTTCAATTTTTTTGTGCATTTTCATATACCTGATATAGGAAATGAAGAGTTATGTCTTTGAGCTGATTTTAAGGATTTAGAAATAGACTTTCCTGCTTGAATTTTTCTCAAGCTGCTGGCAATAGAGCCAATAGTACTTTAATTCATAATTTCATATTGCACATGTTCAAAATGTCTTAATTGATGGGGTGTTTAACATATGCATTGTTAAATTTGAAAGTGGTCAATAATGACTTTGTGTATTTTTTAAATAGTTTTTAACTCCAATAAAGCATTCTAATTTTATTTTTCTTTCTGTTTATATTTTGTGGAGTTTCTGAATTATATTGATGCTATTCACTTACTTAATATGTTATTAAATTTGTTTATTTGAAATTATTTTAATTGTAAATTTTGTTTAAAATGTAATAAAACATAATAAAAGTTAGCTTCAGATATTTAATTTTTTTGCATTTATTTTTAATATTTCATAAACACCTGATTATTTAATTAATGATTAACTGAAACTTATGCAAATAATTACTATATTCTCAGTTATAAATCTTAAGAGTATGCTATTGCTATAATCTGAACATAATTTTAACAAGGATTTAATATAACTAATAGAAAGGTTGTGGCCAACATTTTCAATGTGATAACGTGTACATTGGGTGTTCAGCGCCGCCTTGCTGTAAGCCTAGAAGTTTGACAATGGCGTTTGGAATGTTGAGCATGATTCCACTGATGTTCCAAATGTCATTGTAAAACTTTTAGGCTTACAGGAAGGCAGCACTGAACATCCAACGAACACATTTTTGTGATGAAAACATCAGCTGCAACCTCTCTAATATATACATGTCAAATTTTAAGTTTTCATAATTAATGAAATTGTAAATGGAGTATCTTGACAACTTATTCAGCCTTAGTTTAGATTTATAAATTATTAGATACAGTTTTATGGGATATGATTGATTTTTTATTGAGGCCAAATAGTTACTTGATGGCACTGTCTCTAATTAAAAATTATAATAAATTTCTTTATTTTTTTTCTTTTGTTAATTAAATGGAAATAATTTAAATTTGTCAAAGTGAAATTTTTAAATTTAGATTGATTTTACTAGAAGCATTGTTATGCAAGTTAAGACAGTGAAAAATTTAGATCAGTACTTTTTTAATAGATTCAGTCTTGAAGTAAGCATTTTAATTAAAGTTGATATTGTCTAATATTTATTAGTGAACTTGTTTAAAACATAAATTTTATTATTTTGTTTTTATTAACAAATACTATAAAGTCTGCTATTACAGATTCACTTGAATATATTAGCATTTATTTACAATTATTTATAAGTACTTGTTCCTTACAAACTTATTTTAAATGTTTTTGGTAAAAAAATTTTAGAAAATCTATCATATATTTAGACATATCATTATTAGAAAATTGTTCAAATGAATACTCTTTAATCACTTACATCTTTAACTTCAGTTTTATATTTATTTTCAAAGTCATTAAGATAAGAAATTATTGTCTTTGATATTTAAGAGCACATTTTCCTAAATTTTCTTGAAAAATCTTTTTTATAATCCTATTTGGTCAAATTCCTCTGATAGTTTCATTTTATCTGAATCCCAGCATTAGCATACTCTTTAGATTTAAAACTGTAAATGTAGTAATTACAGTATTTGTATAAATAATTAAAAGTTTTTTATTTAAGTTTTTAAAATTGAATGTATTAGTAGAATTAAGTTTATTGTTGTATTTTTTTTTTTACTTCCTTTTACATTATCATAAAGACTTAAGAACTTTCGTGTGTCATTATATAATCACATAAAATTAGCTGCTTTTTAATTTTTTAAGTATACATATTTTAATATCTTTAATATAATTAATTGAATTATTTAAAAGATAATTATTTCTATGTAATGAATTTGGGATTTATTTGTATTTTAAACAGAGGATGGAACAATCAAGATGTATCTTTATGGTAAACCTTTTGTAATGCATATTCCAACTGAATATTTGCAAGATTATAATCTTAGTAAAGTCAACAGTATTCCAGTACCAAGATTAAAATTGGAATGGGTGTATCCTTTGCTTGTTGAAAAAAGCAACATATACCATATTTTTGCAGAATAACTGGCATGCTGGTCTATCTGGAGGAGACAATGAAATCAGATATTTATGTATGGTAAAAACCAGCATGCTGGTATAAGTGATGTTATTCGCCCCTTTTAGAGGGTACATTTAAAAAAATGAACATGTAAAAACAAACAAGTTTTTATTTAAAACTGTGAAACTGTCAGCATTACATCAAAAACTATGATTATATGTTTAATTTCTTCATTTGTTTTCTTTCTAAAATATTCGTGGAATTCCAAAAGTGTTTTTTTGTGTGTGTGTATTTTATTGTTATTTGATTCAAAAATGCAAAAATAAGAAAATTTAAGAAGCTTGCTGTAAATTATCTTAGCTTAAACCAATTAATGTTGGCTTTGTATGAAATATGAGATAAAGGTGTTTTTAAGGTCAGGGCAGATGGTCAGTGTAGCCCATACTGACTAACTTCTACTACTACTAATGTCAATAAGTCATTAATTGTTTTATTGTCTTGTAAACAAAAATGTTCTTCCTGTTTTTAAGTCAGTCAAATTACAATGTTATTATTTTATTGTACTTGGAAGAATGTTTTCTTTAACATTTAATTAATAACTAGTTTTGTTAGATCTGATTCATTTTATATTTCAGCTGCAGTTTAACTGTCATACTGGTCTCCCCGTTTTTATGTTGCATGCTGGTTATTCCGTGAAAATACAGTATTATGTATAAATACAATTATATTCCTTTATAAACTAATAGAAAATGTCTAAAACTTATTTGTTTAAATTCTTATGTTTAAAATATTTAGTTTAAATTAAAACAAAAACAAATTTTGTTACTATAGAAAAGATTTATATTTTAATATGAATAAGATATAATGATTTTTATATTGGTTAATAATTTTCTAAAGTTGAAGTAAGGGTATAAAAACTTAAATTTTTTTAAATATCATATTTTTTTAAATGTTCTTTCATTAAAGGATTGGTTGCACAAGTTTAATGCCAAGGTTAAATGCATTTTAATCTACAGAATTAGCCTCAACATGTTACATGAATCTGAATCTTTGGGATATGCCTCTGGATAAAATTAACAAAGCTAACTTTAGGCAGTTAAAACTTATTATATAGATTAGTGAAGAGTGTGATGGCTGACATCAATTCTGATTTGGATGTGGATGATTTTTATTTAGGTTACTTAAACAAAGTTTAGCATAATCTTGATAGAATATTAAAAAAAAATCAGATCCTGTAATATTTATAGCAATTGTAAAATCTAAGTGTGATTGTGATTTAAAAACAAAAAATTGCTTAATATGAGAAATAATATATAAGATGTTACTTTTTTATATTTCTCAAATGTATTTCAGTTCCAATTTTTAAGATATGTTAATCAGAACAAAATTTAAACACTTATTCTTTCACACAAATCAATTAACACCTCTATGTGACTATAGATGTATCTAAAAATATTTTCGTACATTATAGTTTGTTTAAAAAAATGTACTCACATAGATGTGTGGAAATTTTTTGTTTTATTGAAAATTAATAAAAATTCTTAAATAAGCAACAAAAAAAAGTGAAATTAGAGTAATAGTCAAATGTAAATAGATATCGTGTTTAGGCTTAGGTTCCATCCCAAAGCTGTTGGATTTTGGAGTAAATATTCCAAATATTCCAATTTATTTCCAAAATTCAAAATATATTTAGAATTTGGAACATTTATTCCAAAATCAAAAAAATCTGAAAAACTTCTCATTCCAAGCTTTTCAGATAAAGGATTCTCAACTTGAAAATAATCAAATTAACATTTTTTCTATTAATAAAATAATAATAATAATATATTATTAATGATACAAAGAAACAATATTAATCTAATATAAAAGTGTAATTTCAAAATGTTCTCACCTAATTGTATTACTTACAGTTATAGAAACATTTGGGTATTTTTTGTTGACATTGACAACTGGAGTTTGATTATTCCAGCTAATTAAAAAGAAAACTGCTCTTTCACAGACATATTTGGAACACATTGAAAATTTATTGATGTTATTTTTTATACATAGCTAGTAATGTTAGCTAGTAATGAATCATTACTAGCTAGTAGTAGCTAGTAATGATTTATTTATAATAGTGTTAAATAATCACATCACAATAGAAACTTTAAAATGCAGTGATATTTTTAATTTTCGAATGTTTTCAGTCCTTTTTATTGACTTCCTTCAAAATAAAAAGGCAATTGAATGACAGTTTTCATTTGAAACAAATGGAGCATAAACTTATTTCTGATGAATATAATTTAAATATTACAATTCTAGAACAAAAATTCAAAACGAGAGAACACTAGACTTTTAAATAATATGCTAATGAAAAATACAGAGAGTAAAATACCAAAAAATGCATAAATGAATCTGAACAGCTAAAAACATTAAAAAACACCTAAATGAACTTAAAAAATAATATCATCAAAAAAACAAAGAATAAATACTAACAACGAAAAAATAGAAATAAAATTAAGAATATATACAAAAAAATTTGTTGTATGTTTGAATTAAAGTCACATATTTGTATTTGAAATTTAGTTTTTGAACTATAAAAGAAATTACTTTTCAAACTCTTGAGCAATCAAAACTGAAATTTGTTACAAAATATATTCATACACCTGAAGAAGTTTAAGCTTCCAGCAACAGACAGCTTTAATAGGACAAATGTTAAAAATACATTCATTATATTTTGATAATTAATAAGAATATAATGAATATTATTATTAAAAATTTTTTAAATGAATGAAATTTTGGATTTTTAATTTTTTTGGATGTTTTTAAATTATGAATGGTGGTGATAATTAATTTGAAAATTTATTTTTAAAATAAAATATTTATATCAGGCGTAAATTTTGAAAACAAAAATTACATTTTACTTTTTAAAATCTAAAATAATTTATTATCTTAACAAATAATAGTTATGGATACAGGGGAAGAGATTGTCGTACTAATTTATATTTATTACCTACTGGAGAAATAGTATATTTTATTGCTACTGTTGTTGTATTATATAATGTAGAAGATCAAATACAAAGGCATTATCTTGGTCATACTGATGATATTAAATGGTAAGCATTATAAATAACTAATAAAAATAACTATTAAATTAATATTTAATAAAAAATTGAAAATTAAATCATTATAGTTTAACTATACATCCAAATAAATTGCTGATTGCAACAGGACAACTAACTAGTTTAGACAAGAAAGAACGTCGAGTAAGTATTATTGAAATGTTTAGAAAATTTATCTTCATGTAATGTGTTTGTTCTCTTGTTGTTTTTATGCACCCTTTAAGTAAACTATAGTTTGATTGTAACTCCTTTTGTGCTGGCTGCAGTATAGACGTATGTCTCTTACCTCAACAAGTGTTACTCACTGGGTGAGTGTCTTTAATATCAAATATTTCACACTGGTTTCATTTTTTAATGCATTCTGTAATTGGATTACTGTATAAGACAAAAATGTTGATAATGCATGTTTTATGTATTTATTGTTAATGTGTAAATAGATGCAAGTAATTTAATAGAATGATTGCTTTACTATAAAAATGCTTTTTATAAAAAAAATTATTGTATCTTTAAGTGAGCATTAAATTTCATTATTAAGTTGACATATTTTTATATGGTTAATTTACAACTTTTTTGTGATGTGTATTCTTTACTTCACTCCTGTTTGATGATAAAAAAGATTCAATTTTGCTTTAGCTTAGTATAAATTTTTCTACTTTTATTCAAATTTTATCTAGTCATATATTATATCAGTGAGTATTTATCTATTTTATAATAATAGCAAATTCTTATGCAGTATAGACAATATATACAGATAATAAAAACTTATATATGTTTTTTTTAAACTGATGGTACTCAGAGACATCTGTAGAGCAATCTAACAGCCGGACTGTCGCCAAATTTGGGAGAGTGACTAAGGACGACATGGAAAAGAGATTCTGCAAAGAAAAAAAGTAGTACCCAAATTCACTGGTAGGGGTGGATTTGGCACTGCTGTAGCAAAATAGCTAAGAATTTGCATAAAACTCAGCTGCAATTAATGAACACACGAATGAATAATCAGACAGAGGTTTCAGTGCAATAATGAAAGTTTAATTAATCAGCAAATAACCTTCTCCCTCCTTCAATGTGACCATACTCCTGCTGGACAACACACTGCTTCCTGAGCACCATGTTCTCTACGGCCGAACGTAACATGTCTGCAGGAATGTTCATCACAGTTCGAGAAATGTTGTCCTTCAAGATCATCAAGTTGGGGACACCACTAAGACAGACTTTGGACTTTAAGTAACCCCACAGGAAAAAGTCACATGGGGTTAGATCCGTGGGTTAGAATCTTCAAGTGCTATTGCAACATCACTAACTGTCTGTGCAGACACCAGTTTTTGCCCTCTACCAGGCTGAACTGCTAAGAATGCTGTCTCTTCAAATTTCTTTATCAAGTCTTTCAATGCATTAATTGATAGAGGATTTTTGCGCAGGTTGTTATGGGTTCTAAACTAAAGATGCACCGATTAATCGGTAAGTAATCGGTAATCGGCCGTATTGGCCACTTAGCCGATTAATCGGTATCGGCCATTCCCCCCGATTAATTGGTTTCAATAATCGGCTAATTTTACATTTTGGTATTTTTGTTAGAATGTTACGTACAATGCTAGTATTAAAAACTAATAAATTTCTGTTATATATTTATTATTTATTACATGACAATCTGAATATTAAAAAAAGTTTTACTAATCAAATTATTCCTTTTATCGATACATGTTATAAGTATAATATAACGTATAATATAAAGTTCAAACTTTACATAAGAAAAAGTATTGAATAGGTTAAGAAGAAAATTAAATTTTTATTTGTTTCATAAGTTTAAAGTTTAAACATAAAAAACAAATAAAAATTTAATATTTAAACTGTAAAACCCTTACAATTTAAGGATTTTACAATGCAAAAACATGAGAATTTCATCATTTTCAGGGCATAACCTATTTTTTGCCGGCTCATGAATGTTACCTACAGTGCTGAAAACTTTTTCACTTTCAATGGAATATGCTGAGGCAGTTAAATATTTCGTAGCTATTTTGCTCAAATTAGGGATAAATGTAAATATGTTTCTAATTCTTGATCGAAACGTTTGTTCATCTCTTTTGTTTTTTTCTTTCTTTTTAAAAACATGCTATTCTTCATTCTTGTGTTTACCAGATGCTAATTCACCAAATAAATCAGAAAAACTTAGAAATTCATCTCCATCTTGATCATCTCCAGAAGTAGAAGCTTCAGAATTTAATTCTTATTGAGATTTCCTCTAGCATATCCTCTTTTTGAAATTTCATTTTGAATCTTAGAGCATAAAGACTTGTTTTCTATATATGCTGAAAATCTTTTTTTTTATTGAATTTTCTAGTTCTTCTGTTGTGGTATTAATGCCACTAAAGGAACTACTGATCTTTGCTTTTGATATGAATAATTTCAGAGTCTCTATTGTGGGAACTATTGAAGATGAAGTCGCTTCTCGTTTGCTGGCTTTCCACAGTAATTTCTTTGAATGGTTTTACAAGTAGAACAATTTTTTCAACGAGAGACACTGATATGGGCTCAACGTAGGAATTTTATTATCTATAGTATATGTGACAAGGGCCTTTTGCTGTTCCAACATGTAGTATGTAGAATTCCAGCGAGTAGGAACATCTTGAATTAATTTGTGTTTCTGCAAACCTAACTTTTCTTGCAAATCTTCTAATTTGATTACAGCTACAGCAGAATGATTAAAAGTTGTGACAATATTTCTATTAATTGTGATTATAGTTTTCACATCTTGTTTAAAAAATATGCATTCGTTTAGTGTCAGCTGCAGCATATGATAATGCTTCTAAGTTGCAATTCTTAATTCCAGCTACCAGATTTGCTGCAGAATCTCTTAGTACTAAGAATATCTTATCACTTGTCAACTTATACTGTTCAAGAACAATTTTTAACTGTTCACTGATTTGTGTAGCTGTGTGGGAACCTTCAAAGGAAACAAGTTGCAAAACAGCTCTTTTCTGCTGAAAATCATCCTTCAACCAGTGAGCTGTTACACTTAAAAAAGGAGAATTGTTTGTAGTTGCTGTCCAAATATCAGCGGTTAAAGAAATATATTTTGTTTCTGTTAAACACAGAAACACTTCAGCTTTTTAAACAATGTCGAAGTTTCCATGCGTCAACAATTAAGTGTTGAGATTTATTTTAGAAACAAAGGAAGAGATTGTTGATTTTGCGAGGATATTCGATCGTCTCTTGTTTACCTGACCCGAGGGAGATGGAAATACCAGGTGGAGAAAAATGGGTTTTTTCCACATTATAATTAACTGTATAATTAACTCCAGGATCTCACATTATTAATGCAATAAATTATTAACACTAATCGGCCAATTAATCGGTATCGGCCGATAATGCATGGCCGATTAATCGGTAATCGGCCATTTTGCTTATCGGTGCATCCTTATTCTAAACTCACAAAGAGCGCCCGGTGCACTCAATTGGTTAAGATAATAAAATTTCACAAGCAACGCATGCTGAGGTAACGAAAGATGCATGTTGAACTCTGCTGAAGTCCGGAATGTGCTTCGGACTTTTGTCCTTGTCTTTTAAGCTCAAATTAGGTGTCACTGCTGTTGACCACGTCATTGTGAATTTGGATTTTGAGGTGTTACCACTGCGTTATGCAAATTCTTAGCTACAGCAGCGCCAAATACACCCCTACCGATGAATTTGGGTACTACTATTTTTTCTTTGTGGAATCTCTTTCTCATGTTGTCCTTAGTCACTCTCCCAAATTTGGCAACAGTCCGGTTGTTAGATTGCTCTACAGATGTCTCTGAGTACCGTCAGTTTAAAAAAAACACCCTGTATTTTACAATCACATTAAAAGATTATAACCATAACCATAAATGAAAATAGTATATAATAATGAATACTCTTCCAGGATTTTTTGTTATTCTATTGGATAAGGAACAAAGAAATGAAGAAATGGTTTATTTCTATTTTGTTTAATAAATATGATTATATTTTATTAAGAACGTTTTTGTTTGATTTACATCCACCAGTATTGAATGATTATTCTATATATAAATTCAAAGATTTTTATTCTTTGATAAGAACCTCTAAATGTTTTCTCTAAATGAGAAAAGACATAGTGAATCTGAAAGAATAATTAAAAAGCATGATTTTGAGCAAAGAATATCTTAAAATTTTGTAAAAAGAATCTTGAAATGAGAGTGTGAAAGCAAATAGCAGTAGAAATAGAAATAAGAAGTAAATATTGTACATTATTATTATATCTTCAGTAAGAACTTTTTAAGAAAGACTGACTGAAAAAGTAAGAAAAGCATTAGCTTTTAATATTTTTAACCCTGGGGTAGTGCAGTGGGGTGTTTCGCCACCCCAACGTTTTAAAAGTTGCACTATTCATAGATTTCGCAAGTAATGTTTGTATCCTCTTCAGTAGCTTCATGATTTTATGTATAGAGCATGCTCAGAAATTACTACGATGCTGCAGAAATTCCAGTAAGAGAAAAACAACAGTTCTCAGTGGGGTATCCAAACACCCCACAGTATTAATTACGTTTTTTTTTTTAATTTTACAAATATTTATATAGTTTTTTTATTTTAAAAATAACTATAATGTGACCACATTTATTATTTATAATATAGATATAATAATCAATGTGAATAAATATAATTTAAGTTTATTTTAATTCAAAATGGCTGACTTTCATAAACACATTGAGAAAACACCAAACATAGCAAGTTGCTTGTCATTTGCACTGAGTGCCAAAGTACAATGTCAGCTATTGAATCAGAGTGACAAAAATGCTTAAAAAACAATTTAGATTTTTACTATTGGTTTAATAATAAGATCTAATGTAATGAGTTTTGATAAATGTTGTTTTTTATTTTCGTGGATTTATGTACTAATATAATATGTAATCATACCTGAATATAATCATATGTATAATGACACATGCCTTTACCAAATAAATGAGTAAATCTTTATGAATTTTTACTTACATGGTTTATGGACCCAAAAAAATGTTGGGGTGGACAAACGCCCCACTGCACTAATGCCGAAAAAAAACTCAGTGCACTAACGCAGGGTTAAGAATTGTTGTTTTATATTAGGGTTTAAGAAAGGATAGGGATTTTTTCAAGTTTATGCTCAAAGATGGCATTTATGAGATTTCATGAAAAGAACATCAACGAAGTTAATAATTTCTAAAATGATTTTGAATCATGTAGATATAAAAATTTTTTAACATTTAAAATATGGGAAAAGTCTGTTAGCTGGATCTGAATTACTTTACTTTATCAATTGTTGATGTTACATAATTATCATATATTATTGTTTTACAATTTATATTATTTCAAACATATAATGAATTGTTTACATCAGGGATGTCCAGCCCAC